CTGCGAAACTGCTTTTTTTTTTTTTGGCTCCGCCGCCATTTTTTTTTGCTCCGCCCCCCCCGCGTCCCGATATTTCATCCCTGTGGTCTGGTCACCCTAAAGTGATGTGAGACGACTCAAGCCCAGCTGCGGTATTGTGAACCTTGTGTAATTGTGAAAGTGTACTTGCATTTTAAGATTTGAAGAGTATAAGTAGCGACTAATAAAGGACATATTTAATGAGATGCCAGAGATAGCTACTGAACCACTATCTACGCTGTGCTTCAATTCGCGAGGACAAAGGTGAGAAAAGTGATCTTTTGAACTGAAGGACTAAGGTTAATATTCCAAGGCTGTCACTTACTGTAACACTAATACATTGGTGCACAGTTCAGTTTCTTGATGTTAGTACATTTCAGTTATTCTTAAAATTAAAAAGTTTCTATAAGCTTAGAGAAAAAAAATTATTTGCTTATATGTGGCATGACTAAATACACATTTACAGATCCTAGCGTGCAAATTTATCATCTTATATGACAGGGATAAATCACACATCAAATCATGCATTAAAGTCATGAAATGCATACAAATGCAATAAAAAATAAGGTACTCAAAAGTTTAACAAATGGTGAGGGGGCGCTAAAGACACTCCTTGCCTGGGGTGCCATTTGGTCAGAGACAAACACCTACAAGATCTTTATCAAGCATTCTTAAAATTACAATTCCCACCTGGGGAAGTGAGGAAACACTTTTTAAAGTGCTTGTACAAATAAGCCCTGCTTTGGGTCCCATATGAGGAGAGATTAAGGAGGCTAGGACTTTTCAGCTTGGAAAAGAGGAGACTAAGGGGGGATATGATAGAGGTATATAAAATCATGAGTGATGTGGAGAAAGTGAATAAGGAAAAGTTATTTACTTGTTCCCATAATATAAGAACTAGGGGCCACCAAATGAAATTAATGGACAACAGGTTTAAAACAAATAAAAGGAAGTTCTTCACACAGCGCACGTCAACTTGTGGAACTCCTTGCCTGCGAAGGTTGTGAAGGCTAGGACTATAACAGGGTTTAAAAGAGAACTAGATAAATTCATGGAGCTTAAGTCCATTAATGGCTATTAGCCAGGATGGGTTAAGGAATGGTGACCCTAGCCTCTGTTTGTCAGAGGGTGGTGATGGATGGCAGGAGAGAGATCACTTGATCATTACCTGTTAGGTTCATTCCCTCTGGGGCACCTGGCATTGGCTGCTGTCGATAGACAGGATACTGGGCTGGATAAACCTTTGATCTGACCCAGTATGGCCATTCTGATGTTCTTAGATTGACAGAGCAAGACGGGTACCCAGAGGTCACCTACTACAGGACAGGTCCAACAAGGAAAATAATAGAACACCACTGTCCAGCACATACACCCCCCAGCTAAAACCTCTCCAGCACATCATCAACAATCTACAACCTATCCTGAAAATGATCTCTCACTCTCACAGACCTTGGGAGGCAAACCAGTCCTCACTTACAGACAGCCCCCCCCACACACACACAACCTGAAGCAGATACTCACCAGCAACTACACACCACACCACAGAAATACTAACCCAGGAACCAATCCCTGTAACAAATGTTGTTGCTTACTCTGTCCCCATATCTACTCTAGCAACACCATCAGAGGACCCAACCACATCAGCCACACCATCAGGGACTCATTCACTTGCACATCTACTAATGTGATATATGCCATCATGTGCCAGCAATGCCCCTTTGCCATGTACATTGGCCAAACCAGACAGTCTCTACATAAAAGAATAAATGGACACAATTGGACATCAGGAATGGTAACATATAAAAGCCAGTAGGAGAAAACTTCAATCTCCCTGGACATTCTATAACAGATTTAAAAGTAGCCATACTTGAACAAAAAAATTTCAAAAACAGACTTCAAAGAAAAACTGCTGAACTAAAATTAATTTGCAAATTTAACACCATTAATTTGGGCTTGAATAGGGACTGGGAATGCTGGTTCACTACAAAAGCAACTTTCCCTCTCCTGGCATTGACATCTTCTCATCAATTATTGGGAGTGAACTACATCCACCCTGATTGAATTGGCCCTGTCAACACTGGTAAGGTAACTCCCTTCTCTTCATGTGTCAGTATAATAATGCCTGCATCTGTAATTTTCACTCCATGCATCTGAAGAAGTGGGTTTTTACCCATGAAAGTTTATGCCCAAATAAATCTGTTAGTCTTTAAGGTGCCACTGGACTCCTCGTTGTTTTTGTGGATACAGACTAACACGGCTACCCCCTGATATTTGGTCTAGAGCCAGTCTTGTGTGCCCTTGTGCAGTGTCTCATGGGCATCGGGCTACAATGCCTCAAACCAGATTGAGCCCCTTCCTCTCCCCCCCACCAAACCAGTCATCCCCAGGATAACCAACCCCACACCTGAAAAGATCATGAGTCTGACCCCCAAAAGTCATGAGACTGGCTTAAAAATTAGATTTAAGAATAATTTGTGTGTTTTTCCAAGAAGTGGCTGTTGTAATAAAGGGCAAAATTCACAAGTCATGTCAGAAATGATGGGAAATGTAAAAAAACGTGGAATAGCTTGATACTTGTGATGACAAATTGCAAGTGGGTGACTGTCAGTGGCTGGCTAGTGTGGGGAAGAGAGGAAGTTATACCTAGGCTTGGAAAGACTAGATTTTTACTGGTAAATGTAGGTGTAACTCTTCTGCCAGTCAGAGTTCACAGCAAGAAGGGGTGGGTTCAGTATCTAGCCGTTCCTTTTCAACAATACAACACAAAACCAACTCGAGCTCCCACCCAGTGACCTGGGACAATTACACACCACCCTCTGGGCACCTCTCAGAGACAATACTTCCCCTCTCACAAGCACAGAGTCTGAGTGTAGCAAAAAAAATTAATAAAAGGAGGGAAGTAATCCAGCATTAATTTGGGGAAACACCACAACCAGGGCTCATAAACATAAACCATGAGCAAAAGACCCACCCCTCAGGTTCTTAAGTCCAGCAACCCAAAAGTCACTTTAACGTGCCCGTCCCTTCTCTGCACCCCACTCACAGTTGTTGTCCTTGGACAGTGCAAACCCAGAGTTCCGAGGTGCATCTGCAAAGTTCACCTCCCATCTGGGTGGAGGGAGGGGTAAGGAGGCACCTTACTTGCTCCGCTGCTTGGGTACTCACTTGCTGCTGTCCCTCACTGCAGGGCGCTGCTTTGTAGGGTGACCAGGTGTCCAGTTTTCAACCGGAACACCTAGTCGAAAAGGGATCCTGGTGGCTGCAGTCAGCACTGCTGACCAGGCCATTGACTGTCTGGTTGGCAGCACTGCACAGCGGGGCTGGCAGCCTCCCTGCTAGCCTATGCACCCCACGGCTCTTGGGAAGCAACCGGCATGTCCCCCCTCCGGCTCCTACGCATAGGAGCAGCTGGGGGGCTCCGCATGCTGTCCCTGCTCCAAGAGCTGCAGCTCCCATTGGACAGGAACCGCGGCCAATGGGAGGTGTGGGAGCGGCATCTACAGATGGGGCAGTGTGCAGAGCTGCCTGGCTGCGCCTTCATGTAGGAGCCAGAGGGAGGACATGCCAGCTGCTTCTGGGAGCTGCTTGAGGTAAGCGCTGCCTGGAACCTGCACCCCTGATCCCCTCCCAGGCCCCATCCCCTGCCCTCTGAACCCCTCAATCCCAGCCTGGAGCACTCTACTGCACCCCAATCCCCTCATCCCCAGCCCCACCCTGGAGCCCTCACCCCCCCACACACACCCCAACCCCCTGCCCCAGCCCTGATCCCCCTTCTGCTCTCTGAACCCCTCAAGCCCAGCCTGGAGCACCCACTGCTGGCCACTTGCTGCACCTCTCTACTACCACCCTGCTGGCTGCTTACCAAGTTGTCTTCAGGACCCACCACTTAACACAGCTCTCAGTGATTTCAGCTGTTAGTGTAGGAGCCTTACTGCTGGTACACACTGGACAATCTCTTGTATCAGAGACACTGTCTCAAAGCAGGTTTAATACTTAGACATAAGTATCAGTGATTTTAGCTCTGTAGTAAAAAGAAGAACAGGAGTACTTGTGGCACCTTAGAGACTAACAAATTTATTAGAGCATAAGCTTTCGTGGACTACAGCCCACTTCTTCGGATGCACTCTGAAACCTAGCTCTGTAGTATGTAACAAAACTCTCAATTAAGTGTAAATTAGCTCTATTATGATACAGCAGATAAAGAAAAGGTTAAATTTTATTAGAGAATATTTAAAAGAAATAAACGATACAGAAATTTGAAGCATTAGTTATTGGTCATTGGGGGTAACATACAGAGTATGGGGGTATGTTGGTGGTTTGGGGCTGGGCAGCACACATAGTATATACACACTGCAATGTCCCCAATGAGGGGTGGGTAACCGGTGGGCGGGATCAGGACACAGTCGATAAACGGTGAGGGTCTATCACCCATACGGGAGGTAGAGACAGTCATGGGTATAAGTAAGCGGGCTGGGTAATGGGGATGGGGTGACCCTCACGTGGCGGGATTCAGCTAGGTTTGGTGGGTTTAGGGCTCAGGGGATAGGGTCCAGCAGGGGGTATGTGTGGGTGCACGAGGTCTCCCCGGCTCACTCTTGGTATTGGCGGTGGCCGGTGATGTGCTCGATGTAAATGTCCCGGGACCAACGGATAGCGTCCGTGCTACATACAACCACCCCACCAAACACAAATGCCTGTTCCTACTCACTAGGCTTTGGAACTCATGTCCTCTGCCTAGCGAGTGCCATTTAGTTGAGAGTGAGTCCCTCAATTGGGAAATGCCAAGTACAGTTCTGCTGCCCTTGATTCACACAACAAGGATAACAACCCTTTATTACTCCTGCCCCAATAACCAGGAGACTGGGGATCCCACACCAGCCAAAAGTGACCATTTGGGCAAGCAAGCCCATCATGCTGAGTTCCTACGCAGGGTGGGTGTGCCCATGCAAACAAGATCAGTTCCTGAAGTCCTCTTCCACTAGATGTCATCCACTAGCTCATCACTAGATGTCAGGGGAGAGTTCATTCAGACTCTGCTTACATAGGTAAACACCAATTTCACTGTATACACACAAACCAATGAAAATATATTTCCATTGATAATCAAAATTTGTAGATAGGCAAAGTAAGAAAAATGCTGCTTGGGATCTTAGAGTTTTATTTACGGATATTTCCTTTGTATGTTTTGACATGATGCTAACAATTTGTATTTTAACAGTTATGAAGCTTTAGTTCTTTGAATCTTGTCTATTGTCTTTAAGTAATTATATGAACCCCCCATAATTTCCCACAATTGTGAAAATTTAAATTGATAAAAATCAAATAAAAATCCTTAAAACCCTTAATTTTACATGCCTCTTGTATGACAGTAGCACATCTCCCCTCCCTCTCTCCTTCTTCTGCCCACACATGACAATGTCAGCAAGGTTGAGGATGGAAGACATGGAGGGAAACTTGAGAGTACAAGTTATTATAATTTACTAGTTGCTGAAAGCCTGTGTAATTCATAATGGGTATAATTCGTAAAGTCATCTGTGTACAAAAACTGAAAATGGGGGCTCTTGTTTTCCATGTGCTGTGTTGTCATGAGCAGTGTTGCTGTTTGTACACATTCCCCATAGTTTGTGGATGAAGCTGGCCCCTGGCTGGCGGCACAACCACTGCATAACTGTTACTCCCACTTTCTGTGATCAGTGGTCACATTCCAAGTGCTGCAAACCCTTTGGACTCCAACATTCTCACTGATGATTGAACCCTGGTCCTGTTCTAAACAAAAAAAGCCCTCAGCCATGCTTGTAGCTGTTTCCTTTGCTTCCCACTGACTCAAGTTTCTCTCGTTGCAGCATCTGGTCTTCAGAGCCGATCGGTTGCTGGTATGCATGTGCCCTCAGTGATAAGTATACATTGTGTGGAGGCATCAGCATCAAAGGAGTTCATATAAGATGGGGAGGGTCCTCCAATTCTACCAATTGTACCCTGCTATGTGAGTATAACAGAAATACCTGCTAAAACCATTCAGTGCAATCAGGTTTCAACCTGGGGGAGCATGTTTATTTATAGCCCTGACATAGAACATCATAATTAGACATGCCCATAAGACAGTTGCAACTCATTACATTGGTACAGTTCTGGGATTCCATTGTTAGCACCATTTCACCTGAGACTTGGGTTACAGGCAGATTCATAGAATATCAGGGTTGGAAGAGGCCTCAGGAGGTCATCTAGTCCAACCCCCCTGCTCAAAGCAGGACCAAAACCAACTAAATTATCCCACCCAGGGCTTTGTCAAGCCGGGCCTTAAAAACCTCTAAGGTAACCACCCTCTAGTGAAATAGTGTTTCCTAATATCCAACCTAGACCTCCCCCACTACAACTTGAGACCATTGCTTCTTGTTCTGTCATCTGCCACCACTGAGAACAGCGTAGGTCCATCCTCTTTGGAACCCCCCTTCAGGTAGTTGAAGGCTGCTATCAAATCCCCCCTCACTCTTCTCTTCTCCAGACTAAATAACCCCAGTTCTCTCAGCCTCTCCTCATAAGTTATGTGCCCCAGCCCCCTAATCATTTTAGTTTTCGAATGATTCGTTTACGACTCATTGCCTACATTATGACATTAGATAGGTGGTTAGCCAGAATCCCAATTTGAGGAGATTATTTTTTAAATCTGATGCTGCTGAAATGTGCTGGATTGTCAGCCCTGGAAACTAAAGTCTTCTCTTTTCCCACAGAACAAATACCACACAGGCAGTTTTCAAACCATGTTCTGCGGGAACGACCTCTAGGGACAACTGGAGTTCAGTCTCTATGGTCCATTCCATCACTGGACTCTAATGATACTACCAGTTAGAGATAACTGAACAATTAGTTTTATGATATTGACTCCTGCCTGCAAAAATACAAAACAAAAACAAAACTACAACACACTTGCCCTGCAAAGTCATTTCACTTAAGGAGCCAAAGAGGCATCAATTGGTAATTACTTCTAGCCAGTACAGAGCTGAGATTGATTCGAACTGCCAAATGAGAGGTGAAACAGTCAGTTTAGAAGTGAAAGTCTGTCCCATATTCCCAATCCTCTGAGCCATCTGGCTTCCCATGTATTTTTGTATTGGGGTGGGGGTGTATAAATGGGGGTTGGATTAATAAAGAGCTGTGGCTCAGGCCCAAGAAGAGATAAAATGTTAATAAAAACCTTGTTTACTTCTACAAACATTACAAAGTTGGGGTTCAACATTGTGTGATATGTTAGCAATAGCTTACCCCTATTGTAAGAACCACCATTAGTAACTTTTTCTTAAACATGTAGAAAGAAGGGGGTGGGGAGAGAGTTAATGCATGTGAAACTTAAAAAGTGAAATAAAAACTCCATTTTAACAATTTCCCCTAGTCCCTTCTGTGTTGTTATTCTTTTACAATGAAAACCCTCTCATTGATAGTTTTTGATGGTATTAACTGTTCTCGTTGGGGGAGGAAATAAAAAAGAGGAAGCCAGTTTAAATGGTCTTGAGTTATTGAAGGCGGCTGAGCCTGTTTCGACAAGCTCACACAAAATGGGAGAAAGGAGTATAGTAGGGATAGACAACAGATGCATTTTCCTCTTTGCTTGCAAACTAGCTGTGGGAAATTACAGGCACAGCACATGGTTCTCATGGTTCTCACTCAGAACTGGCACACTTTTACCAGTGTTGAGTGGTTAAAGGCCTTTCTTTGAGCTTGCCTTTCTGATCACAGGCTCACAGAAGGTTTGCAAAAGGTGGCCAAGTAAGTACTGCGTGCAGCTAAGGGAACGAGCTGCTTTGGAGATGTTTGCAATTCCCTGATCCCGAAACTGTCCATGGTATAGGAAACCTCAGCTCTTCAGTCCTAGTCCGCTTAGTACTGAAGTGGTACAAAGGGTGCAGAGGGGAGAGGTGAGCCCTGATCTCATTTCCACCTATTCCCCATTTTGCACCCTACATTCTTCTCATTTTACTGCTTCTTTTGTTTTATGCACACTTGGCTTTATGCCTTTTATCATGCTGGCCCCATACACCTGAAGCTACATCCCACTTGTCTGCCTAACATCCGTTCTGCGCTATCAAACCAATCCTTTTACACCTACTTCCTACTTTCTCTTCTCCAATAACCTTTCTACAACCTTCCCTTTGAGTTCATGCCTTGTTTAATTTGGGTTGTAAATGCTTTGGGGCAGGGACCATGTCTTGGTTCCTGTTTATGAAATGCTGTGTGAATTTCTGGCACTTTTTATATGATGTTTCATAATAGCCAGTGGCTATGGAGTGGGATTTGTCTGTTAGCCAGTGGTATCTGTTCTAGATAATAGAATATGTCACAGGAGTAGGAGCTTTTGGGTAGGATGCTAACAAACATTCAGAAAGAAACAGTTTGAGTGGAACTGTGCAGAAGAACAGGTAAACACTGATTAAAACAGGAGCTTTGTGTGTTCTCAGAAACTGGGCAAGGTTCCCCACCTTCGCTCTGCCAACGTACCTCAATCCTGAAGTGCAGCACCCCCTGCTAGTCTGCTCCATAAGACACACAGTGCTGCTAATGCATCTCACTCTTGATCTGCAGTACCCCCTGCTATTCCAATCCTACCAACTGTACTAAATTGTGCCAAGTTGTTTGGTTTTGGCCACAAAACTCATTTTCACCTGTCTCCTAACAAGACACCGAGTGACTTTCATCCAAGCACTGTCAGCAACACAGAAAAGGAAGAACATGTGAACACCCAGCTTCCTGCTAAATTCTCTAATTATATAGTGATGTATTAATAACAACACTTTCAAGCCTTGGCAATCGCAAAATGCATGTCAGCACTGTAGTCTATCAAAAGCAGGATCACACAGGAAAGGTGTGTCTGGTTTTAAATCACTTCATTAAGTAGCTTAACAGTCTGGACCCAGAATTTAAATTCCGAATAGATATCTAATGTAAAGCCCTGAAATGTCAATTGTTTAAATGTTCTACAGAATCTGGGATCATCATGTTAGATGCATGTGCTTTTGCAGAAGTGAACAACTCTGAGCAGATAGTTTCTTTTCCCCACTCCCTTTAACTTTAAATGCTGCTGGTTTTAGAAGATGAATCATTTAAAATAGGGGCATCATTTCAGAAAAATTCTTGGGTGGGTGGGCAATGTTGTGCCATCATATAGAATATCATATGGGATTATATTATATCCTGCAAAGTCTGGGGTAGGGTGGGGCAGGGAGGCAAGAAGTAGAAGATATCACAGAGCACATGGACCTATGAAAAGTCTGGGGGGAGGCATCTGCCCCATAGCAAATGCTGCTGCTAATTTAAGTCCTGTTCTTTTAAGAACTCTGCAGTGCTGATGTGATGGCTGTCAGCCTGGCTGAAATGCAAGGACTGAACTGGGGACCTTTAGAGTTGAAAGCATGAGCAGCTATAGCTTAGCTAAAGGGCTGCCCTCTGTAGGTGGGGCTGTAACAGACTCACATCCTCTGTGGATCAGGCAGCAAAGGGAACACAACACACACTGCAGCTGAAGCAAGCATGAATTCGAGATGATGATGAAAAACGTAGCAATCAGAATTAATGCCAGTGACAGGACCTCACTTTATGGAGCAAAGGGTTAAGATCAACAAAGCTACAAGAATTCAAAGTCTCATCAGAAGAGAGAGGTAAGGAAATTGTATCAGTAATCTCAAAAAAGGTGTGGAGAAGTTTGGGAATCAAGGTCACTTGGCTCTGTCTCCAGTCCTGTCATATTTGGCCAGGGCCGGCTCTACCATTTTTGCCACCCCAAGCAAAAAAAAAAGCCGCTCCTACTGCCGCCGCCCGAACTGCTGAAGCAAAAAAAAAAAAAAAAGCTGCCCAGACTGTGCCGCCCCAAGAATGGACGGAATGCCGCCCCTTAGCATGTGCCGCCCCAGGCACGTGCTTTCTCCGCTGGTGCCTGGAGCCAGTCCTGTATTTGGCTGCAAACTATTGCAGACCCCATCAGATGGACTAGATGAAGGACGCTGCTTCCCTTTCAAGCCATCTGAAAAAAAAAATCCGTGGAAAAGATTAGTAAGGCCCAGAGCCTCAAAGGCAATCAGACACCTAACTCCCTGTGACTCCAATGGGAGTTCTTCCTCCAAGGACTTGCCCCTGCCACTCGCTCCTTGCCCATCCCCATCACTCGCTGGATTGTCTCCACCTCCCTCGTCCCCTCCCCCCAGCTGGGCTTCCCCTGCTCCAGGGCTGGGATGGGAGCTGCTGCAGCCTGACAAGGAGCCTGCCTGCAGGTAAGAGGTTGCCCCGTCTGAGCAGGGTCTGGTGTAGGTTAATGACCCAGTGCCTACTCCTGCCCTGCGGTAACTGGACTTTTGGTGTCCAGTCAGTACATCTGACTGGATAGTGCCTGGTCCCCTTTTCAACCAGAATTTCCGGTCAAAAACCAGGTACCTGGCAACCCTAAATGGCACCTGGACAGAGAAGCCAAAAAATGGGCTGTCCAGGTAATACCCGGACAGGTGGCAACACTAAATTAGACGCCTAAATATCTTTGAAGATCTTGAGCCAGAGTCTACAACCAACATGCTCAGGGGAAAATAAGTAGAAGGGAAAGAACAGAACAGGACAAGAGACAAGGAAAAGGAGGCAGGGACAAATGTGAGTAGTTAGGTAAAGACTCATTAGAAAGAAGGGAGGGGGAGGGAAATGTAATTTGTGACAGAACATCAGCCCCAAGGCTGAAGAGGGTGGAATAAGCATTGGGGGGAGGGGTGTGTGGGGGGGAGCCCAATCAGAATTTTGCTAAGAAGAGAACCCAGGTTACCTGCCCAGCTGACCAAAATTTGAATGGTTTTGTGACTCCATCCACCAGGCCCCAAGGCCACTTGTTCAAATTTGTCATCCCAGCAGGGAAGGGGCTCTGCTGTTATTCCACCAGCTCCAGTCAGGAGCCACGGGGTAGAGAGGGGGGACTGGACCCCCACCCCCACCCACACATTGTGTCCCTACGAGTATGGAAAAGCTGGAGCGGGGGATGGCCTGAGGATATGCTGCTCTTCAGGTCTTTCCACTTGCAGAGGGGAGGCTGCATAAGGGCCTGTTGAGTTTACTCAGCCACTGCGCTTGTGTAGTCTTAATGGCCCTCTCACTGCACAACTGTTCAGTGTCTGGCTTGAACATCCAAACTGGACACTAGCCTTAGGATTGGGGTGGGCAGTTCTGGCCTCCTGTCCTATGCCCATTCCAGGGGCATACGGGAGCTGTTGTGGGCAGGGAGAGAATTGCCCTAGTGGAGGAGAAACATAGGGCTACAGACATGAGCCCCATGCTGCTCTTCTCACAGATCCCGCAACAGAGGGCATTCCTGGGATGTGCCCTTGCCCTGCGAGGAGCCCCACTGCCACCTTTGCCCCCTTCTCTGCACCTCTGAGGTAACCGAGCACAGAAACCGTGCCAGGGACTGAAACAACAGCAACTGGAAACAGTAAAAAATCAGGTCCCAGGGCCTGCTTCCAGCACACAGACAGGATCTTCTGACTGACATAATTTGACTTTTGCAATATTTTTTGTCAGGCACCTTTCAACACACTCACTGAAAAATAAAATAGGATTTTGCCATGAGCCTATGCAGTGTTCAGCCGACAGATGGCTGTTTCAGAAACTTCACTGGGGAGATCCCCAAAACTATTGGTATATCGCATAGTCCATATTACAAACTACTCACAGACATCATGGTTAATATATATTAACTGACACTATTCAGAGAAACTGGTGTGTAACAAAGATTTCTTCCTAATGTCTATTTACTACAGGTTGAATAGCTTCATCTTTCGGTAGTACAGCTGTCTCTGGCATTTGTCACATAGATGAGCAACAGCATGTAGTGGCAAAGAATTTGGTACTAGTATAAGGGGAACCAATGGGAGTAATTGTGGTTGCATGTGAAAACAGATCTTAATCTGTCAGTGAAAGGCGTCTCCAGACAGATGACCGCTTTCTCACACAAGTAACCTGCAAAGAACTAGATAACTGCATTTCTCCTTGAGAAGAATAGAGAGTGATTCTGAAGAAAAAATATCAGAGAATTCCAAAACAGAGAGGAAGAAACCAAAAGTAATCAGGCCATGGAAGAACTGAAAAATAAAGCACAAGAAAAATACCTTCCTTATTTTCAGAGAGCAAAATTAACCCCAGTGTAAAGGACTAGCCCAAAACTGATACATCATTGAAGCCCCTCTTAAGCACTATTTTGAATACTTCAGTGATACATAGGCTTTACACAGGTTCTCTGAACAGGGATGAATTTGAGTCTGCTTTTGTTATTTCAAAATACCGGTAAAGATTTCCACACACTTAATATTTTCCATTGCCTTTCCGTTACTGAGGGCATGAGAAGGTGGTGTCCTGTACACAACTCAAGT